GCCAAATAATATATATAAATTTATAGTATTCAAAACAATTAAGAGTGAATTTGATTCAAATATATTTAGTTGTTTGTAGTGTGAACAGCGAAATGAAACCAGAATCTAAAGCTGAAACTACCAAGTTCCATACTGTAGTAGGCTAAACGACAGGGCTTGAAAATATCCACATTTTTAGTATCAAAACATAATTGATGCAGGTTTAACAATTCAAAATGAAACCAATTCAAACGAATTTAGTTGTTCTTACTGTGAACAGAAAAGTTGCACTAGAATCCAAGGGTGAATCTGCCTATTCCCATACAAAATAGTATTTCAAAAATAAAAACATGAGCCAAATTATATATCCAAATTTATAGTATTCAAAATAATTCAGAGTGAATTTGATTCAAATGTATTTAGTTGTTTGTAGTGTGAACAGAAAAATTAAACCATAATCTGAAGCTTAATACCAAGTTCCATACTATATACTGTAGTGGGCCAAACAACCGTGCTTAAAAATAATATATCCAAATTTATAGTATTCAAAACATAAGTAATGCAGGTTTAAAAACTCTGAGTGAAACCAATTGAAATAAATGTAGCTGTTCATAGTGTGAACAGAAAAGTTACACTAGAATCCAAGGGTGTATTCCCATCCAAAATAGTATCCCAAAAATAAAAACGTGAGCCAAATAATATAAACAGATGTATAGTATTCAAAACAATTCAGAGTGAATTCGATTCAAATGTATATAGTTGTTTGTAGTGTGAACAGACAAATGAAACCAGAATCTGGGGCTGAATCTATATAGTTCTATAATATATACTGTAGTAGGCTAATAGAATGGGCTTTACAATAATATATAAAGTGTATAGCATCTTAAACACAAGTGATAAAGGTTAAACAATTCAGAGTGAATCCAGTTCAAATTCTTTTACTGATTTGTAGTGTGAACAGAAACATTTTAAGTTGTCTATATGACATTTAAAAGTTATTTTCGAGCACAAAATCCGGACTAAATTACGCCTGCTATATTATGACCTTCCTTATAGCCTCTATAACAAAACAGTGGAAATTGCCTCATAAATATATTTATGCCACCTTTGATAAGTGGCAATCAGAGCAGATACATTTCCCTTTTTGTGCTACCTTTAAAGGATAAATATATTGCCCTAGATGACTAAACGAGATGAATAAACCCATGACTTACACCTTACACTGACGGATCACACAATAACACACTGACTAACGCTATTGTGTCTGTCAGTTTCCCTCAAAGTGGAAAAGTTCAGCACTTCAGCACACACTATCACACGTTCGCGGTTGAGTCATGTCAACCTTCATGGCTTTAGCACACTTTGCTTTCTCTCAATAGACATGATGGCAGGTAGAGAGGGAATGAGGACCACTTACAAATGATCCCATCATCTATTGCCCTCCATGTTTTATTCAGTTAAATTTGCACAAAGCTGTACAGCAGAACTCCCACACCACTGAACATCGAATGAATAACACTTCAGGCTTTTTCAAGTAGTTCTGTTCTCAAATGTACACACACAAAAACACTCAAATGCAACAGCTCAGGCATGATTTATGCATTGCAAAGAAAAAAACTAAAATAAATAAATAGAAAAATCACGACTAGATCCAGCCCAGTGCAGTTTCTCACAATAATACAACCTCATCTGACCCACTGACAATAAAATAAAGCATTCAGCCTTTAAGCTTTGCATATTTCAGCATGGATGTGATGTATAACGTTGATTTACAATCTATTCTCAAGAAAACATTATATTAAAGCACATTTTATGGCTCTTTTTTTAATCTAAGCTTAATGAGACGTTCTCATTAGACTAAATGTGCTGTAATTACTAAATACAGGATTCATAAAGCATTCTCAGTGGAAAAGATAGAATGAAAATGGCACAATGGAGAAATGAGGAAGATCTAATATATATACTGTAGTGCTCAGCATAGTACACCTTGTACAGATCTCTCATTCAAATGAATCATTTCAATAGGATGCTAAGGAAAAAAATTATCAGTATATACATTGCAGTACCAAAGCCAAAACAGGAACTAATTTAACAAAATAACTTAATTTAATTTATTTATTTTACTTAATTAGTGCATACTGTACAATAACTTTATTATCTTTCTATTGCTAAAGATGTTAAGTGGTCAAAACTCTTCTTTTTTATGAAAATAACTTTTTAATAAAACAATTTAGTTTGAATGCACTGAAATATATAGTCTATATTCACTGAAAAATGCACAGAAATATTCATTTTCAAATGGGGTAATTACGCATAAATCATAGCAAAATAAAATCTGTGCAAGAAAGACATTCTGGATTCAAGATGTCTAACTTGAATCTTTATTATTATCATTTGTATTGACGTAATTAATGAAATTTGATCTCCTTGTTTGACATATAATGAATTTTTAATTGTATTTAAATTAACCACCGCTTCGAATGTTATCACTCGATTGAATTACGTTATCAGCGGTTATCCGCTGATAGATATGGGCCAGTAGGGGCCTTCTGCGCCTAATAGTAGGCTTGGAAGGCTGTTATTATCCACTAACATGGTTATTCAGCTATACTAATAGAGAAGGCTCCAGATCTGTTTTTACATTACTGTGGTGGTTGGGTTTAGGGTTGGGGTAGATGTTAATAAAACATTTATTCATTTTCTTTTCAGCGTAGTCCCTTTATTAATCTGGGGTCACCACAGCGGAATGAACCGCCAACTTATCCAGCATATGTTTTACGCAGCGGATGCCCTTTCAGCTGCAACCCATCTCTTGGAAACATCTATACACATTCATACACTACGGACAATTTAGCTAACCAAATTCACCTGTACCGCATGTCTTTGGACTGTGGGGGAAACCGGAGCACCCGGAGGAAACCCACTCGAACGCAGGGAGAACATGCAAACTCCACACAGAAATGCCAACTGACCCAGCCGAGACTCGAACCAGCAACCTTCTTGCTGTGAGGCGACAGCACTACCTACTGCGTAACTGCGTTGCCCGTTAATAAAATACAATTAATGGGAAATTTAATAATTAATATAAACAGTTCGTGTTAAATTCCGGCCACAGCCATATGTGATCTATAGCTGATTAACCATGTGGATGGATGATAACAGCCTTCTGAACCTACTAGTAGGTGCAGAAGGCAACAACTGGCCCATATCTATCAGCTGATAACCACTGATAACAGTCGAATTGGCTGATTTAACAAATGTTTAAAAACATATTTTAAAACAAAAATATTTTTTAAAACTCTCTAAAAGATTGTCTAACCTGTGCAGAGTTGGATTGCAGAATGTGAAGCGGGCATTACTTTTATTAATAGTTGAGAATAATTTTAAAAAATCTATTCAATTCAAAGTGGAATAAATTTGTTAAGATAGAAAAGAAATATTAGATGAAAAATCTCTTTCATACATTCACCTCCTCTTTCTCTTTTTCAAGTTCCCATTCTCTTTTAAAATGGAGCAAGAACAGTAAGAAGACAAGTAATGAAGTAGATCATGATAAGAAAGGTTTGTCCCTAACGCTTTATCCTATTTATATGAGATATAGACAAAATACATATTTAATGTTTGAATGAGTTTTTACACCAAACTAATATTTTATTTTATTGTTATGAAATGACTTGAGATGATGCTGTACTGAATGTGAAAAAAATAATAAATGTTGCCTTGAAACTAATGGAATTTAACCAGTATGCCAGTAACCAGTAAGCTGCATTTCAAATTGAAACACTAATAAATATAAATGTAAAAAAATGCATTAGAGTGACTAAAAATGAAAACCAAATATATATACACTGTAAAAAATTTATCATAAAAATAATTAATCATTAAAACAATTATATGCTCAATTAGTCACGACAGTGAATATTTTTACAGTAGTTCACAGTAAATTAAACTAAGTTAATCATGTTCTAACTTAATTTTATAAGTTGCACAAGCTTGTTTATAAATTTTATTTTAACTTATATTTTTAGATTTTTTTGTTTACAAATTGGGCGTCACAGTGGCGCAGTGACTGTGTGGAGTTTGCATGTTCTCCCTGTGTTGGCGTGGGTTTCCTCCAAGTGCTCCGGTTTCCCCCACAAGTCCAAAGACATGCACTATTGGTGAATAAGCTAAATTATCTGTAGTGTATGTGTGTGAATGATTGTGTATGGATGTTTCCTAATGATGGGTTGCAGCTGGAAGGGTATCCGCTGTGTAAAACATTTGCAGGATAAGTTGGTGGTTCATTCCGCTGTGGCGACCCCAGATTAATAAAGGGAATAAGCCAAAATGAATGAAATTAATGTTTACAAATTTTTATTTTGAATTTATTATCATTTATTTTAGATTTTACTTAAATTTTTAGCTTATATTATACGAGTAATTGTCTCAGAATTCAGCTTTTTGTATTAATATTATATGTTAGACACCATAGGGTCTGAGAGTAACGCAATTTCTGTTCTCTTTATGTCCTGTACATGTGGTTGAATTGACAATAAACCTGACTTTGACTTGAAGCTGTTATAAGTCAGTTTAACATAATAAAAGCTCAATAGACACATAAGGTTAATGTGTTTCAGCTTATAAATTTAAGGCAATCAGGATATTTTTTACAGAGCAGAAGTGGTAACAAATGCTCTAAAAATGCACATCAGCAACAGTTTTATAATACTGATTTCACACTTTTTTTTAATGCATCACTACAGGTCAGAAGCTTCAGAGAAAGTGTTTTAGAGCATCTCAGGGATGAAAGCTCAGGCAGAGACTGAAAAAAGCCAATGAAAAAAAAACACACCAGAGTTACTGAAATGAAAACTGAAAATAGAAAAATGGCAACAAATGCTCTAAAAGCAAATCAATAAAACTACTGCACTATTCACACTCTTTAATGCATCACTGCAGGTCAAAGAAAAAAGTGTTTCAGAGCATCTCAAGGATGAAAGATCAGACAGAGATCGAAAAAAAAGAAAAAATGTACTCACGCGTCCCATCAAAGCGTTTGGCGATGGTGTCGAGAAAGGTGTTCTGAGGGGCCAGGAGCCCTTTCATCACCGGCATGATGACGGGTGAATCCTCAAACCTCCATCACACACATAACAAGAAAGAAAAGCTAGAGTAGGAAGATGATTTTATTATTATACCCGAGGTTCAACCTGTGTTGCTGGCTGCCTTATTCAAGGTGCTAATGGCCGCTTGTTCAGTTCAATTCAATCCTCCATGTCTTCGCTTTTCCACATTTTGCAGAAGTCAGAAGCTACACTACGCTCTGGAAAGTGTAGTGTTACTAGGATGCATTCTTGCCGCTCAGTTGTCTACTTCCTGATAGTTAAATCTGTCTAATTTCTGGTGAATTTGCGCTCACTTTCTACAATCCGTCAGTTTGGTGCAGCTGCTCTGTGCAAAAGCAGGATTTTGTGTCTCGTCTCAATTTTCTTTCTTTTGTTGCTTTTTCTGCACCGTTCCTGTCTGTCCAACAGCTTGTCCACACTTCACTTTGTTCTTTGGATGTCCTTTCTTTAGGTTGTCCTGATAGGAGGTCAGATGGTTGTGCGCATCCTTCTCTTCTTTTCATGTGTTGTGTGCGCTCTGTGAAGCAGGTGCACAATCTCTACTGCATCTCTCCTCCACTCAGTGCTATCTCTCTCCACTCGTCTGTCTGTCCCTCCCTCGCTCTCTCGTGCTCTCTCTGCTATTCCCTTTCAGAAAGAAGAAGCATGAAGAGACGTAATGAAAAAGGATTCTAGAAAATCAAGATTTAAAATAAGGTTTGTGCTTAAAACTTTGCTGCATTTCATATTATATATATATATATATATACTCACACACACACACACACAGTGTATATACAGTATATACAGAATTATTAGCCTCCCTGAATTATTAGCCTCCCTGTTTGTTAATAACTCATTTCTAATAACTGATTTATTTTATCTTTGCCATGATGACAGTAAATATTTGACTAGATATTTTTCAAGACATGTCTGTACAGCTTAAAGTGAAATTTATAGGCTTAACTAGGTTAATTAGGCAAGGTAATGATGGTTCTGTAGATTACATATATAAGTATATCTTAAAGGGGCTAGTAATTTTGACCTTAAAATGATTTTTTAAAAATGTATTACTGCTTTTATTGTAGTATACCGTATACACACACACATAAATGCATAAATACATACATACACACACACACACACACACACACACACACACACACACACACATGTATGCACACACACACATTTTACATTACAGATTACATTAATAATATAGAACACACACACATATATATATATATATATATATATATATATATATATATATATATATATATATATATGTATATATATATATATATATATACCAATATATATTGTATATATGTTTTAAATATATATATAACCTCTAAAGATATAACCTAACAATGTATACACAAATCAGTTTTAATAAATAATAATTAATTAGAATGACTTCACTTAATGTGTACAATTTATTTTGCTTTCAATAAATTATGTATACCCACAAAATGCTTTTTAAATATAACTAAACAACAGTTTACAAAATGACTTAATTATAGTAAGCTAAATATTTAAATGAACTTGAGGAATTAATATATATATTATATATTATATATATATTGTGTGTGTGTGTTTGTATACACACACACACACACACACACGCTTCAGCTGGGTCATTTGGCATTTGTGTGTGGAGTTTGCATGTTCTCCTCAGGTTAGTGTGTTTCCTTGCGGTGTTACCGTTTCCCCCACAGTCCAAAGACATGCGCTACAGGTGAATTGAATAAACTTGAATAATAATCATAAAGAAAAGAACATGAAGCACAGGATTTATAGCAAGCATTAATAAATTATAATGGATAATGACTAAATTTGCCTCAGCAGTTAAGCAGCGATTGTCTTCAGAAGGAAATCTTTGGCATAACATAACCAAAACTAAGGAACTAATGTGGCACAAGCAGATCTCTCTAGTGACCGAGTGACAGTTATAGAGGCTGTAATGAGAGCAGAACTGAGTCTTAAAACCACAAATAAAGATAGTTTAGCGGCTGAAGTGGGTTTAAAGGGACAGTGACATTACCAGAAACAGAAGAATGAAGTGGAGGGAGAGCGACATAAATGGTGTGAAAGGGAAGGCAGAGCAGCCATCTGTACCGAGCAGATATTTACATATATTATTACCAGACAAAAGCAACATCTCCCACAACACACCGAGGAACGTCAAGGCTGAAATCTGAAAGGATGCGGCTCTGGGTCAATACTTACTGAAAATGTGTTGTCTCGCAGGCTGTGGGGGTGGAGGATTCAAGCACGAGCCTTTGAAAAGCACTAATTATCTCCCAAAATGTGTTTCATGATCAGGCAAGCTGTCACATCGAGACCAGGGCATGCTGTCACATATACTGTACGCGTTTGTGTACGGAATGAGTACTAGCATTCATCATCAAGGCCATTTAGTTTGAATAGCTATACTTAATGCTATGGTTGAGTTCTTTTTCAGAGTATAATAACATTTCACAAGACAGTAATCTATTAGTAGGCAAAATGGCTCAGTGGTTTGCACCATCGCCGCCCAGCAAGAAGGTCACTGGATCGAATCCCGACTGAGTGAGTCGGAATTTCTGTGTGAAGTTTGCATTTGACTTTTTGGTGTAGTAAAATCTTATATACGTTTTAAATTGTAATATTAGGTGTCGAAGATAAGTCGAATGTTAAAGTAGGCCTAGGCTAAATATTTAATATTTACACATTTACTTGATGTAATAAACAACATGAGAGGAAACTGTTACATATTAATAATAATTTACTTGTAATATTTAAATATTTTCTAATCGTTGCAAACACAGTAATATTAAGTACATTTTAATAATGGATATGTAGTTTCCAGCATGCTTTGCGTGGGACTGAATTAAGAGAATATTTAAAAAAAAAAAAAACTATCTTAGGTGTTTAAATTAGAGTGTTGTTATGACTTGATTCTCACTAGTTTTACGAGTAAAAAGAGTTTTGAGTAAGTTTTATGTTTTGTTTTGAGGTAACCTTGCAAAATAGTAGCACTCGTGCTTTGGGTTTTGGGATTTTTATCAGCATAAATGTTTGACGCATCACTCAGAGAGCCATGGCTGTGCTATAACAACCTCTGAGATCTGTAAGCAATTATAAAATAAATTTGCTCTTGGGTTCAATTTGCTATAGTAAAGTGAAACAACACATTTCAAGTTAGTAAAAATGTGTATCTTAAAGGTGCAGTAGGTGATTGTCTTCACAAACATTTTTTTGTTGTGCTCGTTGAAAGTGTCTTCACATTTCAATACAAATGATTAAAGTGAATGATCTAAATGTATTTATATGTATTTTTATATTCTGGGTGAGGCATAAGACTAAAATATGTTCATCCAATTAAAATGGTGCGGGCCGGTAATTCCCATAATTCTGATAAGTAGCCCAAACTGTCTGTCAGCAAATGTAGATTTGAACTACTGCGCAGCCGTTTATGCAGATCCGCCATTCGTGCATACACGCACTGCTGCGAGCTCATGTGCAGACTAGAGAGGGAGAGAGAGAGAGAGAGAGAGAGAGAGAGAGAGAGAGAGAGACAGAGAGAACGCGAGTGGTAAAAACATGCTGAATCAAAACTTGTTAAAATCCTCCACGCTGGAAGTAGGACAACACCATGGCTAAAGTGTTTCTTTTAGACAGGTGATGTTCTGTTTTAAAACAATTTTAGTCACGCAAAGCTTTTATTGTTACAAATGGGTTATATGCACAGAAGTGTTGTTCAGCCACTGAAGTCTTCTGATGAAAGATTGATGTGACTATTTTCAGTTTCAAGGAAGGGGCTGTGTTTCAGAGATTTATGCTAACAGGTTAGCAGCATTGTGGCAGATCTTCTACTGCACCTTTACACTAAATCAAGGGTGGGCAAACTCGGTCCCGGAGGACCGGTGTCCTGCATAGTTTAGCTCCATCTCTAATCAAACACACCTGAACAAGCCAATCAGTGTCTTCAAGATCACTAGAAATCTATAAGCAGGTGTGTTTCATCAGAGTTAGAGCTAAACTGTGCAGGACACCGGCCCTCCAGGACCGAGCTTGCCCACCCCTGCACTAAATGTACTAATTTGTAACCAATAAGATTTATTTAAATTGATAAAAGCAACGTTCCTTCAGCTAAAACAAGAACTTGCTATTACTTGATTAATTTCAATAAAATTTGACTTAAATTAAAAAATTATCAATTAACTTTTACTTAATAAATTTAGGAGCGTTAGGTAAAACATTAAGTAAATTTTTACATGAAATTGACAATATAATTGTACCTGATATAATTTAGTAAAATTTACCTGAAATTTTTTTGTGCAAATTTTTATGAGGATTTTTTTTAAGTAAACCTCAAGTTATTTTTTTTTCCATGTTTGAGTGTTTTTCAGCGCTGGGTTGCGGCTGGAATCGTATTGCTGTGTAAAACATACGCTGGAATAGTTGACGGTTCATTCCACTGTGGAGACCTCTGAAATAGAGACTAAGCTGAAGGAAAATAAATGAAATAATCCTTTACTGAGTCATGTTTTCTCTGAAGGCAATACGTTTTGAAGACATATGACGGTTCATTAGCTCATATCTGTAATCAAAATAACAGGTCTCTGAGAAATATTAAAGGGATAATTAATTATAAAAATAAAAATGGTGTCATTTAATCACCCTCTAATTTTTCCAAACCACTTTTTTGAACACATAAATGAATGTATCTCAATGTTGGAAGGTGATTTGTTTTCTTTTTTTTAAGTATTAATTGGTTTTCAACATTCTTCAACATAAGTTAATTGTTCAAAAATAAGTTGAACAAGTTGTGTTTTTTTATGCACATTTTGGAATAATAAAATACTTAACAAAAATCCAAAGATTCATACATTTTGAAACTTGCCATAACTTGTGTGCAAATCTGAGTACGATAAAAAAATCTTACTCTCAAAACTGTCACTAGGGTGGTGCCTTTTCAAAAGGTACAAATTTGTAATCAAAAGGTCTATATTAATACTTCAAGGGTACATCTTAGTTTCTAAAAAGAACAAAATTGTACCTCTTAAATTTTTAGGTACTAATATACTTTTGAGGTACCAATATGGACCCTTTAGGTTCAAACGTGTACCTTTTGAAATGGTACCACCCCAGTGACAGCTCACACACCTTTATTTCTGAGAGTGTATAAGAAAAAAAACGCACAATTATTTTTTGTTTTCAACTGTAATAAAACATAAAGGTCATACAAGATTTGGAACCACACGAGGACAGGTAAATGTTCATTTTTATGCATTTTCTCTTTAAATAAACAAACTGCCGTACCCTCTATCCCTATCTATATAAGCTACAATACATTCTTTGCTTCCCTTAATCTATAGGTCTAAATGTTCAGATATTTTCCGACCCCAAAACAAACCACAAATGTTCGGAGCTTTATTGTGAAGTCAGTGTTATTTTACAATATTTACATCGCCTGCCACCTGCTGACCACAAAACATATTACACGTTATTGATGAGTGTAACAAACTGCTACTAGCCTACATTTATTTTTTTATGAAAAGAGGAAAGGCAACATTTCACAAATCTCAGTGTAATATAGCAGTTCTATGTGGAAAGGAAAGTCTTGTGATTTCCTTACAAGTTTTACTGAGGTAAACGGACAAAGGCTTATATTTAAAAGGGATAGTTCTGTCACTCTAAACTTTCTCCAAACCTATTTGACTTCTGTTAAACAACAAAGATATTTTGAAGAATGTTGGAATCCTGTAACCATTGACTGCCATAGTATTTGTTTTTGCCCCAGTATAAAAGTCAGTGGTTATTTTTTTCTTCAAAATATCTTATTTTATGTTCAAATGATTAAAGAAACTCAAGAAATGTTTGGAAACACGAGGATAAGTAAACAGTCTTTTATTTTTTCGGTGGGTGAACTATCCCTTTAACGTATGCAAACCTAGTTTCGTTTTTAAAACAGCTTATTAACATGGTAAGCATCATTTTATTTATGTTGGAATAATGTCCCTTCGAGTAATGTTAAGCACTTTTACGCAAATCAACGTCGCCAATTTTTTAAAAATCTAATCATATAGCTTACAAATTGACGGGTTTTTTCTGTTTTTATTATTAAATAGCGACAAGTGTCATCGTTTTTCATAACTGTCCACATCCTGTGGTACCGTAGGGATGAGGAATTTAGCGGGCTCCTCCAGCCTCTTCCCCATGGTGAGGATCCCCGCGGCTTGATTCCGCGAGTTGTGCAGCAGTTGTTGCAGGCGGTCGTGGACGCGGCTTTCGCCCACTTTACGTTTGCCAAGAGTGAGAATCCCGACAGCGGCGTCGTTGTTGAGATGCACTAAATGTCTGGCGACGGAAGAGTCGTTTCTGCGTCCTGCTCGGCACAGCATCTCGTAGAGTTTGCAGGAGCCGGGAGCGCGCGCGCAGCAGGAGGCCACGCCCTCCACGTCCCGGGCCAGGTGAGCGAGCAGCGCCATGAAGACGAGCACCTGGAGCTTCTGTTGGGAGACAGACAGAGGCAATAGTATCTGGATGCAGACTTGGATTTGCAAGCGGAGACTACATATTTCAGAGATGCAATGTCGACAGAGGCGCATTGGGGGCCCTAAGCAGTTCCAGGTATTGCCCTAAGCATTTAAAACTAAATACATTCTCTTTCTCTATAGATTTTTTTTCTCCGTAGATTAGTTTTTTGTGAAATAAACTGCATGTTAAAATATATTTAAGGTTGAATTTTGAACTTTTAAAGTAAAATCAAATACATAAAACAATAAATAAATAAAAATGAGCCCCATTCTTTTTATAACCTTCTTTTTTCAGCTCCACTGGGGTAGCTTCACCCTGAATTACCAATGTGTATGAAATGTGCACTATAAATAAACTTTCCTTGCCCTTTTATGGGGTCCCCGGTTTTAAAAAATAATTAATAATGTTATGGTTATAGACAGATGATAGAAAACGTATAAAAGAGCTATATGACTGATATAGCCCAGCAAACAATCTTGTGTTTATCAGACGTCTAATACACATCTAGATGTAGACAGTTTGGCTAAAACAAGGCTAAACTTGGGCTATCAGTAAATCTCTAATAGACATCTAAGAATAGCCCAAATCTAGACTAGTCGTCAAATAGACAGACAGACTTTATATGTGTAGTCATTCATTTCTGTCTATTTGATGACTAGTCTAGTTTTCGCCTATTCTTAGACATCTATTGGATTTTCAATGACAGCCAAAATTTAGCCTTTTTTTTAGCCAAGTGGACTATGTTCAGACGTCTATTAGACATCTTAAAAAAAAAAAAATAATAAAATAAATAAATAAATAAATTGGTGGAAGCTTCATTGGTCGGTGGCCCTCTTATGTCCCAGAACCCTAAGTGGCTGCTTACCTCCCTTATTGGTTGAGTTCACTCCTGATAACAGATTCAGAAAATCACGTTTCTTTAAACTAATGTCAGAAATCTATTGTAAAATATATTTAGCCTTTTTTGCCCATGTCTTACTTTTGATAGCCCTGGTTTTTGTTGTACTCGGTAGGCTTTTAAACAGAATTTTTTTCAGGTCATTTAAAAGCTATTTGTGATCCTGGACCACAAACCATTCATTAGTTTAAGTTATTGAAAACTGAGATTTATATCTCAAAACTGAATAAATAAGCCTTCATTGATGTATGGTTTGTATTTATTGTTTGCATATTGCAAAAAAATATAACCGCTCAACATGTTTTGTGGTTCATATACATACATTATATATATATATATATATATATATATATATATATATATATATATATATATATATATATATATATATATACATACATACATACATACATAGATACAATATTACTAGCCCCCCTGTTTTTTTCTCCACAATTTCTGTTTAACAGGGAAGATTTTTTTCAACACATTTCTAAACATAAAGTTTTAATAACTCATTTCTAATAACTGATTTATTTTATCTTTGCTATAATGACAGTAAATAATATTTGACTAGATATTTTTCAAGACACTTCTATACAGCTTAAAGTGACATTTAAAGACTTACCTAGGTTAACTAGGCAGGTTAGGGTAATTAGGTAAGTTATTGTATAACGATGGCTTGTTCTGTAGATTATCTAAAAAATATAGCTTAAAGGACTTAATAATTTTGACCTTTAAATGTTTGTTAAAAATTAAAACTGCTTTTATTCAAGCCAAAATAAAACAAATAAGACTTTCTTGAGAAAAAAAACAATATTATCAGACATACTGTGAACATTTTCTTGCTCTGTTAACATTATTTTGGAAATATTAAAACGAAAAAAAAAAACTCAATAAGGGGCTAAGAATTCTGACTTCAACTGTATATATTTATACATATATATATATATATATATATATATAAATCGATTTTATAAATATAAATCGATTTTACGTTTCCAATACCACTCATGAATGGCTTTGTGGTCCAGGATCACATACAGTATAGCTTTTTCTTTTAATGACCTTAAAAAATATCTGTATAGAAGCCTACTGCGTACAAAAAAATCCAGGGCTATCAAAAGTAAGACATGGGCTAAAGGGCTAAATATATTTTACAATACATTTTTGACATTAATATAAAGAAACGTGATTTTCTGAATCAGTAATCAGGAGCTGACTCAACCAATAAGGGAGGTAAGCAACCACTTAGGGTTCTGGGAAATAAGAGGGCCACCGACCACCAAGCTTATTTATTTATTTATTTATTATTTTTTTAAAGATGTCTAATAGACGTCTGAACATAGTCCTCTTGGCTAAAAAAGGCTAAATTTTGGCTGTCAGTGAAAATCCAATAGATGTCTAAGAATAGGCAAAAACTAGACTAGTAATAGAAAGAAATGAATGACTACACATATAAAGTCTGTCTGTCTATTTGACGACTAGTCTAGATTTGGGCTATTCTTAGCCCAAGTTTTGCCTTGTTTTAGCCAAGCTGTCTTAGTCTAGATGCCTATTAGTAAGAGAGGTTAGCAGCCACTAAGGGTCCCAGGGAATTATTAATGCCAAGAAGCATATTAAAATCATATAGCTCTTTAGTATAGCTATATTCCAAATATATTAAATAAATTAATGTATGATATATATCAGGGGTGGCCAACCCTGTTCCTGGAGAGCCACCTTCCAGTAGATTTCAGTTGCTACCCATATCAAACGCACCTGAACCAATTAATTAGGACGTGAACACCACGTGATAATTACAGGCAGGTGTGTTTGATATGGGTTGCAGCTGAAATCTGCAGGAAAGTGGCTCTCCAGGAACAGGGTTGGCCACCCCTGATATATATTTAAAAAAAGGGCGACACAGTGGCTCAGTGGTTAGCACTGTCACCTCACAGCAAGAACGTCACTGGTTCCAGTCCTGGCTGGGTCAGTTGGCATTTCTGTGTAGAGTTTGCATATTCTCCCTGTGTTGGCGTGGGTTTCCTCTGGGTGCTCAGATTTTTCCAAAGACATGCGCTATAGGTGAATTAAATAGGCTAAATTGGCCGTAGTGTGTTGAATGAGTGTGTATTGATGTTTCCCAGTACTGGGTTGCAGCTGGAAGGGCATACGCCTTGTAAAAACATATGCTGGGTAAGTTGGCGGTTCATTCCGCTGTGTCGACCTCTGATAAATAAAGGCAATAATCTGAAGAAAATGAAATATTAAAAAAAGAAGGTGAATTTTTTGGTAGTTGTAGGTAAAAAGTAAGACAATTTTAAATAAATACTCAACTTTTAAATACTCAATATATTGTAATTAGGCTATTAAGAGCAGACAGCTGTCATAACTAACGCTAATTACTGACAATCTTTTCAGATGTTCAATTAATTTCTGTCCTAAAAAACAAACGTCTCAGGAAATTTCACGGTTAACCTTTGAGTAAATGCTATCTAATCTACTTTCTTTCGAAGAGTTCACCGACTGCATGGAACGGTCACATCGCCTTCCTCTTTATAAGTTAAAGCTTATACTGTAGCAGCTGCTATCATTTTTTTTTGGTGCCAATTAAAACGCATGAATGTCATTGCACATTAAGCAATCGTACAATCCCAGATGTAACCTATAAGAAGTTAACCTTCAGTTTAAAATCGCTCAAAGTCTTACCTTAGCTGTGCAGTCCATGAGTTTAGCTTCTGTCCCCTGTCTTGTAGACAAATGTCATGTATCGAAAAGTCTTGATGCTCATATTTGATGCTCCTCGTTTTTATACAGATGTGCCACCCACTCTCCAGCCTCAGAGCTTAATTACGGCCTTAAAATAGTCTGACAGAAAAAAAAAACAACAGATATCACAGCTTTTATTTCTTCAATGTCATGCTGTCTGGGTTGTGAAACCACAAAGGATTTTTCGGGGTTGTTAGCATCTTTGTCATTAGCGTGTAACCAGGATTACCTGTATCCCGGCAAGTTCTTAAAACAACTATTATGGACAGGAGGACGAGCTTCGTTAGCAAATACCAACAGAATGAGTGTGTGACGAGGCCTTGATTTAATTAGCTGCAAATGCAGTGACAAAAGGCTGAAAGGAACAAAAGAGCAGGAGCGTCGCAAATAAAGCAGAAAACATGGAAGACAGAAGGCCTTTGTGTGAAGCAGAAGGTCAGAGAGCAGTCAGATTTAATGATGAGGCGCTCGAACACATTCACAGATACACCTGCATTACGCAACACAGAAAAGAAGAGCAGTTTATGTTATGGATTGCAGGAATAATGGCATTCGCATATAAAATCAAGGATGTCTATGGATGTGAGTCATGAGAGCTGTAGGGGGAAGTATTATAGCTAATAATAAAGGAATGTGTTGATATATGTCAGGTATTTACAATGAGCATAAAGGAATTCAAAGTGAATGCAGCACTCTAAACGAGATATGCTGTTGTTTCAGGTGAAAGTTTGGTCAAATTTTCATGCAGAAATGCCTTATTCTAAAGTTTTCAAACTCATTTTCTTCAATACACTGTAAGAAATGCTAAGATTCATTCATGTTGTTCCAACAAAATTCAACTTAGTTAACTTAAAGGGCACCTATTTTACCCCTTTTCAAGATTTGAGAGAAGTTATTTGTGTCTCCAGAAGGTGTCTGTAAAGTTTCAGTTTAAAACCCCATCAGATTTATTTATTATATTATTTATTTTCTGCTCTGAGCACAGTGTAGCTGTTTTTGTTGCTTCTGTCTACCGTTCCCACATGCATGTCAGAGTGTGCCTCAATCTCCGGCTGCATCAGATAAACAGCACAGTGACAGACGTGAAGGAAGCAGATCTCGTGTAACGTTTGTGAGAAATTCTACAGTAAGAAATTTCCCAATGATTATTTGATGTATTTGTTGTGGAGTTATTTCCCAGAGATGGGTTGTGTTCATTCTGCTGTGGCGACCCCAGATGAATAAAGGGACTAAGCCGATAAGAAAATGAATGAATGAATGTTGTGGAGTTAATTTAAGCCTTTCGATGAGTCACACACAATATAGTTATAAAGTTCACAGACACAAAATGGTTCCCATTCCAGACTTTTGTTTGTCGGCTTTTCCCTCTGCTTTTAACAATTCAACCCCACAATTTAATTAGACTACTGGAACAGTTTGACCTTAGTAATAACTTGGTGGGCTGGATCGTTATTTTTTTAACTAATCAAACACAAAGTGTTCGAGTGAATGGATGCTTATCTGATAAAGTTTGCTCCTCAACCGGGTCCCCACAAGGATGTGTTCTTTCACTTCTGTTATATATCCTTTACACTAACATGTGCCAGAGCAGGTGGGAAAATAGAACCATTATCAAGCATGCAGATGACAATGTCATTGTCAGCCAACTTTATGCTAATGAAACAGGGCATGGTCCAGGGCTAACTGATTTTGTTAGATGGTGTGAGGAGTCATATCTTCAGTTAAATGTATTAAAGACAAAAGATATGATCATTGATTTTAGGAAGGCTGTTCACACACAGGTGAACACTTCCATTAAAAATCAGACTGTGGAAAGTGTGCGACAATACAAATACCTTGGCACAATTATTGACTCTAAACTTTCCTTTGGTGAGAATTGTGGAGCAGTGTGTAAAAAGGGGCACCAGTGACTATTCTGTTTGAGAAAGTTAAATCATTTCATTCATTCATTCATTTTCTTGTCGGCTTTATTAATCTCTTTATTAATCTGGGGTCACCACAGCGGAATGAACCACCAACTTATCCAGCACATTTTTACACAGCGGATGAGCTTAAGGCTGCTATCGAAGCATGCTGGGCCTCCATAATACCTCAGCAGTGCCACAGGCTGATTGCCTCCATGCCACGCCATATTGAAGCAGTTATTTCTGCAAAAGGATTCCCTACCAAGTATTCAGTGCATAACTGAACATAATTATTGGAATGTTAACTTTTTTTGCATTAAAAACACTTCAGTTTTATTAGTCGGAAGAGAAATGCTAATTTTTCGAGATAAGAATTTTGGGTTTTTTTGCCAAAATCATCAATATTAAAACAATAAAAGGCTTTTGAACAACTTCAGTTGTGTGTAATGAGTGTAAAATATATGAAAGTCTAATGTTTATCAGTACATTACAGAAAATAATGAACTTTATCACAATATGCTATATATATATATATATATATATATATATATATATATATATATATATATATATATATATATATATATATATATATATATATATATATTTTTTTTTTTTTTTTTTAATTTTAATTTTTTTTCAAATATACACAGATTCAAAAAGAACCACAGGTCTGGAGGGAGATTAAAGCAAAAGACTAGTTTCTGCTTTAAACTTGATTGACTGAATATTTACTATTAAATATCTACTATTCAAAAATTTACAGACAAATGTAAAACACAGTAAAACACCCTAAATCTGTTGAAACGCATCGATCTGATGGTGGTTGAGTTTGCAGCTGAATATTATTGGGAGATTGCTGACAGAAACAGTGAACAGCTCCGTCAGAGCACGTCTGAAGCTCATATGATTTGGACAACTATGCGGATATATTGAATAGTTTACACAAAAACACAGATACTTTACTTTCACTTTATGCATAGTTTGTGAATGAACAGAATTGCGTGTAGTTGCAGTAGATCAGTAGTAGATCATGAGGCTGTTTTTGCACCCAGTGAACAGAAGAAAGTGCATTACTTTGATCATTTTAATATGGCATGTTGATAATGAAATCCAAAAATTATAGTATAATATTGAGTTAATTTAATTCTCGCGACCACCGGTTGAGAATCCCTGGATTATTGGATCGAATTGGACCATTAGCGTCCACTCAAAAATTAATAACTTAAATAAAGTAACTTTTTTACAGTGCGTGCTCACAATTAAGAGAAAAAGGGCACTTTAAATACCAGATGTTGAAATATTGAATATTTCATATACTCAATTTTTATTTACTGAACTGTTAGATTTTTAATTATAACGTGGAGGGGTTGGGGATTCAAAATAACCTCATAAAATTCAGAAATTGGATGGTCATGTGCACAGTGCACATTTAAAGTCAACATAGGCTCATTCTGAAAACGTAGCCCTATATACATTTCTGGAGATTGCGAATTATGTAGCCAGATGTACGTATAGCTGCATTTCATCTTTTAAATGAACGCTACAGGGTGGTATGACACCATTCCTTTTCGCGCTTACCAGCTGACAGCTTACCCCCATATGGACAGCTTTCCCACTGTAACCAGTTTGTCCCGTTAGCTCACCATGTACGTCGGCAGACTTAAGACGCAGAGAGGAGTTTACCACGACGACGGGGTTCGAGTCCCTTGATGAAAGGCTCCAGAAAGAAGATGATTAAAAAAATAAATAAAACAAAAAAGTAAATAATAGGGTGAGAATGTGATGAAATCTGAAAACGTGGTAAAAATCAGACGAGTGCTTTAATTTTTTTGGATTGCTTTTAAAAATTGTTGGTTGGGTTTAGGGAAGTTGGTGGGTGAGTCAATAAATAAAATTAGTTGGCTTTAGGGGAGGAGGAGTGTAGGTCAGTCGATTGGTCAGTCAGTCAAACAGTGGCCTTTGGTGGGTTTACGCAAGAACAGCAGGCGCGAATGGCACTCGCAAAATTTGAGATCTCAGAAAGCAAACATATAGCGACCTTGTATAGATTCGCAAAACAAAAACTGCAAAAAAAAAACATACCATCTGGGGCGTATTTCGTGCTCTCCAGAAATGTATATAGAGGTACGTTTTTAGAATGAGCATAGGTTGCTTAAAGTACATTGTGTATCATTTAAGGTCCAACTATTTACTCAGCATATTCACGCACTAATTCACACTATGTTTCTCTGAGATTTTCTTTGACGGAGCAAAAACAGAACGTGTTTTGCAAATGAAAGCTATTTAACTTGTTTACTGAACTGTATAGATCAATGATCAGTCAATCATATTCACAAATGTGCAGATGGTTGGAAAAACAACACTTTCTTGCTTCTGTAATAACTCCCGCTAACAAGAGCTCATTAAATGGCATTTCTTTAATCATTGTTTTTAATGCTAGGAAAGTGTTCTAGAAAGTACTCAGAGCTCATTAATTAATAAATTAATTAGTAGAAATGATCCTTCACTATATAAAGTGACATTTGAAAACTTTCTGTTTGACTTTGCGGCTGTTCAAATCTAATTCTTTTCACATGTAAACAGCCTTTAATTCAACATGCAGTTTATTCTATGCAAAACAATAAATATCAGGTGTAAGAATTGAAATATTACAAATATTTTTGATGTCTTTGACAATTCAAAACATGAGCTGAAAACAGAGACTGGTGACTTCACAACCCACCAGGGGGGAATGCGGGAAACCAGTTCCTGCTGCATTTGCATCTGAGATTGCAGAACTCAGCTTCATCCCCCCCAACTCACGCATATGGTCATTTCAATGTTTTAGATTAACCAAACTGACTTTAACTATCATGTTTGATATCATTTGAAATGTCTCAGTGCGATTGGTACAATGGTCTCATTCTCTCAGAAATAGACATAATCAACACAATAAATATATAACTTCAGGCATCTTTTGAACCACTGAGAGGGGTGTGCCACTAAGTGTGAATGCCTTTTGTTCACACCCCCTTCCTTGAGGGAATTCTTGGATTATTTAAGGTAAGGCCTAAGAAGGACTCAGGGCGATTCTGCTTAACCAGATCAGCCCATAACATGGCTTGTTCCA